CGAAGGGGCCGCGAGGGGGGCCGCGAGGGGGCCGTGAAGGGGCCGCGAAGGGAGCCGTGAGGGGGGCCGCGAGGAGGGCCGTGAAGGGGCCGTGAAGGGGCCGTGAAGGTGCCGCGAAGGGGCCGTGAAGGGGCCGCGAAGGGGCCGTGAAGGGGCGGTGAAGGTGCCGCGAAGGGGCCGTGAAGGGGCCGCGAAGGGGCCGCGAAGGGAGGCCGCGAAGGGGCCACGAGGGGCCTGAAGGGGTCGCGAAGGGCCGTGAGAGGGGCCGTGAGAGGCCGTGAGAGGGGCCGCTACGGGGCCGTAGGGGAGCGCGACGGGCCACTAAGGGCAGGGGACGCGACGGGAGGGTAGGCACACGGGGCGCGACTCGGGCAGGGGCGAAGTGCGCTCCGGGCAGGAAAAAAAAAATCGATATTCGGTGGGCCCTAGGAAACGTTCCCACTAGGGAACCTGCTCTATACCATGTGAAAGAACGAGGAATGGATGAACTAGCAAGCAGGTGGGTACAAGTAGGAAACCTAGAAATGTTGTACCCTATAGTGTCTATCCCACTACAGCCTAGATAGACCATAGCATATAAGTTTGACAATAAAGAACGAGCAGAAAGTTTAGAAGCAGAAAGAGGGGTTGCACTAGCAAGCAGTTGAGTACATATAGGAAACCCTAGATTGGGCTGTACTCGCTATAGAGTACCCCACTGCAGGCTAGACAAATACAACATTCTGACAGATTGCACGCAAAACAGCGCCCTTTGAACGGTGCGGCAGCGGCATTTGCGGCGACGGCACGTATCGTAGCGCCCTCGTTCGTCCCACGAGGCCGATGTCCCCAATTGCTGCTTCCGTAGGACCCCGGTCTCGGTCGGCGGAAGAAGTCGAGTTTCTCCGCCATGGCGAGAATCTCCTGAAAATCGGTGACGCCGCGAAGCTGGATTTCCTGAGCGATGTCCTGCTTCAAGCCGCCGATGTAGCGGTCGATGCGCTCGCTCGCATGCATGTATCCCACCTGCTCGCTTAGCGCCAGAAACCCGCTCGTGTAGTCTTGGACGGAACCGAGTTGGCGCCAAGTGCGGAGCCTCTGTCGCGCCGCAATCGAAGCCACAATTGGCTCGAAACGAGCGCGCAGACCAGCGCACCATGCATCCCACATGCGATACTGGGGCACCTCCACGAAATACGACGGCGCCCAGGGTCCGGTTTGTCCTTCCCGTGTTGGTAGAGTCGCGTAGTCCACCGGCTTCGTGACGATGACACGCCACCAGTCCATGGCGGGTCCTCGCAGCAACGACACGGCGTAACGAATCTTCGCTGTATCCTCCGAGACGTAGTTCGCGTCGAAGAAGACGTTCAACGTGAAAAGCCACGCCTGAACGGTAGGACCACCCCGCTGACTTGGGTCAAAGCATGGCGGACGCTGCGGCTTCAGCGGCATCGGCGACGGTAAGGTTGATTCGCCGGCCGGCACCGAAATAGTGACTCGAGGCTGATTCCTGGCCGCATTCGTCGCGTCGGGGTGTGTCGTGCCGTGGTCGTCGTCTTCGTCATGGCGGACGACGCCATCACTTGCGGCGCTCGCGGGTTGCCCCACACTTCCGTGTTGCGATGTCTGTGGTGCGGGCTGAATCGGATTGCCAGGTGCTTGGGATTGTGCTCGTGCGAGGTCATTTTGCAAGGACGTGCGTTCTGCCGTCAGCGCCGCGATTTCTTCAGAGCTTTCGCGGATTTGCCGCAGCAGTTCGTTCAAGTGCTCCTGCGTAAGAGTCGCGACATCGATATGCTCAGCCATTACGAGGGACGTCGGCTCGGCTTAGTCTAAGCGCAGTCGTGGCTGCACGCGTTTGCGTGAGAACGCGAGGACAACGGCTCCTAGGGGCTAAGGTGCGTGAGTCCCTTCGAGTGGAAAATCAAAAGTTGATTTCCTGGGGTGCGGAGATGCGCGGTTTGAAAAGAAAGAGGCTCTGAATACCAAGTGTTACGGGTGCAATGATCGAAGTAGCGAGAATTGCACTAAGATGTCAAACGAGTACAAAATGTGAGCGAAGGCATGAGCGAACATTTATACGCGAAACACGCAAACGGTAACGCGGTGCGTGCGAGCTAGCTAGTGCTATGTTGGAAGCGAGGTTCGGGCTGGTCCCGAAGCGTAGGCCGATACGGCCAGGCCAGCAGTGCGAGGTTTGGTGAAACAGTGCGCGCGAAGTCGGCGAAGCCCTGTTAGCAGTAACGGCCGAACAACGGCTGCTGCTGTACGCGATGTTGCAGGGTGTTCTAAGGAATATCGAGAAGATTCATTACACTCACCCTCCCCCTTCGGCCCCCAGACATTCGAGCAGAGCCATCTCTGTCGGCTGCAAGGTTCTTCCTTGGTAACCTTGGTCTGTCGGTGTCCCCTCGTGTCCAACCAAACCAGAAACATCGCGACGTGAGTCCTGCCTTCGAGATTCTGCTAGCACGGTAGCGCCAAGCATGGTCAGCGGCATCTCTCATAGAACGCGCGTATCATGCGCCATCATCGGGAGCTTCGTCGAGGGACCCCCAACCCTAACCCGAACAGCGCAGGTTTTCAGTCTGAACGTGAGGAAATCGTGGAGCGGCATGAGTCAAACACTGGCCACAGGTACTCGCACTGCTCCGCACATGTCACAGCGAGAAAAGCTCCGCCAGTAGTAGCAATGGGGAAGGGGGAAGCGGCCCTGCGAGCTTCCGGTTTGCTGTGTTGCGGCAGTCGGGTGATAAGTGAATGCAGGCGGAGGAAAGGCGGGTGCACTGATCTTTTCAGCACACTCGCTCAAATGTCGGCGCAAGATTCATTCATCGGCCCACGCCTTTCCCAGGCGAGTTTGAGGCGGCTCAAAGCGGCAGACGTTGACTCATGGGAATCGAGCTTCCTCCCAGAGCGTCCCAGCTTCTCTCCGCATTTGAGCCGTCCCAAACGGCAGCAGCAAATGCGGAAGGAAGGCGCATGAGTCGCGAGGCACACTCCCCCTCAGTCGACTCAAAACAACACACAGCGGAATAATCGCACTTTATCAATGAAAGAAGCTTATCAAATTCCTTCACTCGCCGTCGTTCCCCCCACCGACCGTTGTTTCTAGTCCGCGCACACACCCTTGCCGGACCCGCAGGTTAAAGCAGCGTTCCCTGCAGTACCGCAGGGTGCCGCAGTTGAACAATCCATACTGTTTCGTCGGATACTGAAGATTTTAAGAGCTTCTAGACGGATGGCGGAGCGCGGTTTAGTGATTCTTAGGTCACGGCGGTGCGGGTGGTGCGTGCTGATGCTATTGCTGCTCCTCGTTGCAAGCCGTTATGGTGACAGCGGCGCGGTCGGGGTGCGCGCGACCAGATTGGGAGAGGCCCGGCGGAGGCGGGCGGATCGGCTCCTGCAGGCGCAAGTGAGATCCCTTTGATTAGTAGAGTCGACTTAGTACGAGAAGTGATGAGTCAATTACTGAGGCGCCTCAATCATTGTGGGGGCGGATCGGCTGCTGCAGGCTCAAGTGAGAGCCCCGAGTCATGAACGTGACCAATGAACCCATGATGGGTCACTGTGGAGTTTTGAGGCGCATTAGTAGAACTTGAAGGGCCTCAAAACCTGCTGCGGGCTCAAGCAAGAGCCCTTATGAAAGTGAACCATGATGTGTCACTTCACAATCTTGAGGTGTCTACTTTAGGTGCCTTAGAAATTGAGCAGCCTCAAAAGTTTCTGCAGGCTCAAACGAGAGCCCTACGAGTCTTGAAGTGCCTCGAAGCTTCACAGAGACTAAATCGCTCTTAAACCCCGGGCATTCTAGAAGTTGAGGCGCCTCACACCTCGAGGTGCCTCAAAAGCTGCTGCAGGCTCAACTCAAGTGTGAAAACCCCTCATGGGCCACTATAGAGGTTTGAGGTGCCTCTGAGTCTGAGGCGCCTCGGAACTTGACTCGCCTCAACCCTTACGGCGCCTCAAAGCATGCTCCAGGCTCACGTTTTGGCCCTTGATGCGTCGCCCAGCCCAAGGGACTCACGAGGAGGAGTGTCAGCTCGCGTGAGGTTTGGTCGAAGAGTGCAGCTGTGGCGTCACGGAAGTGGTAAGGTCTGAGAGGCATACGTGCAGTGATCCGCGTTGAGTTTTGAGTCGACTAAAGAGTAAAAGTCAGCTCGTCAGGCTGGTGGTGTGGTGTTAGTAGCAACACGTGAGGCATGCATGCAATGATCCTCCCGGAGGTGACAAACGGGACACGTTCCGTCCCATTCGGTCCCATTCGGTCCAATTCGGTCCCATTCGGTCCCATTCGGTCCCATTTGGTCCCATTCGGTCCCATTCCGTCCCACTCGGTCCCACTCGGTCCCACTCGGTCCCATTCCGTCCTATTTCATAGTTATCCTGAATGAGTGGTTCTGGAGGCGAGATCCTGACACTAGTATGGTATGGGCCAGGGGTTCGATTACGACCAACACTACCAGAGCCGATGGCACGTCATCATAGCTTTCAATCAATTTCAGGCGTGTAGAAAACCGGCCACTATTACTGGAGCTCATATGAGGGGTCATGTCATGGGATGATTGCCGTATCGGATCGGATCGGATCGGATTGGATCGATCAGATCTGACTGTTACTTCAATTTGTGGCTAATCGTCATTGCTTGCCCTTTTGAATCTTTTGCAACTGCAACCCTTCCAGCCATGAGTGATGATGGCGCGTGCTCCTTGCACGACCCTTGCAGGCCTCCTTGCATGCCTCCTCTGTGTTTGAAAATTTCCGCCGTTTTTTCCTCTCTTTGCCTCCCTGCCTCAGCACCACCAACCAGGTGAATAGGACGCTAACTTTGAGGCGCCACTCAAAAGGGATGCTAAATCTGAGGCGCTTAAGTAATGTTCATTCTCTCTCTTTGCCTCCTTGCTCCACCAATCCCGTCGCCACCAATCAGGTGAATAGGATGCTGGCATCGCTCGAAAGGAACGCTGACGTGGCGTCGCTGACGCAGCAGCAGACGACATGCTCATGCTACCGCGTCCGCAATGATTACTGCTGTTTCCAGTACATGTGCAAATGCTCTCCCGTGTGCTGGAACGGCTACGAGGTGAGTGAGGCTGTTTGAAAGGCCGCTCATGCTACTCCCTACACAGCATACTGGCTACCACTGCTGCAACCAGTACATGTGCAAATGCTCGCCCAACCCATGTGCTGGAACAGAACAGCTGTGAGGTGAAAGAGACTAGGCTGTCTGGTTGTAAGGCTATCAGGTAAAAGCGGCACCCTAGGCATTAGTCCTACACCGGGTAAAATTTGGGGCTTCAATGTGTGGGGGGGGCATTAGTCAGGTAAATACGGTACTAGTGCCTCGTTGCTTGCTGTCCGGCACAGTGGTAACCACTGCTGCCAGCAGTACATACATGTGCAAATGCTGGCCCATGTGCTGCTCCCTCTGCGTTCCCCACCAGCTCATATCTCTGGGTCAGCCCAAGTGCACACCAGCCACAGAGCACGCACCAACTCAGCCCAACATATGTTTTTTGAGAATTCTCAAAAACCATACCCCACCCACCAGCTCATTTCTCTGGGTCAGCCCAAGTGCGCAGCGCACCAGCCACAGAGCACGCACCGCACCACCTCAGCTCAGCCCAACGAGGCCCCCGTGCTCCCATCTCCCCATCCCTCTCCCCTGTTCCCCCTGCTCCCCCTGCTTCCCCCTGCTCCCCCCTGCTTCTTCATTAGCTCATTTCTCGTGGACAACCCGAATGTGCACCAGCAACAGAGCACGCGCCCCCCCAACCCGAATGTGCACCAGCAACAGAGCACGCGCCCCCCCAACCCGGCCTTGTGACTGACTCCCAACGCATCCCTCCTCACTCCTCTTAACCCCTCCCCACCAGCTCATCTCTCTGGGTTAGCCCAAGTGCGCGCCAGCAACGGAGCACGCGCCTCCCCATCCCGTCCAGCCCCCCGTGCTCACCCCTGTGGACTGCTGCTCACTCCCACTGCCCTCCCTCCCGCCCCTCTCCCCTCTCCCCTCTTCCCTCTGCTTTCCCCTTTGGTTCCCCCAGCTCATCTCTCTGGGTCAGCCCAAGTGCGCGCCAGCAACGGAGCACGCACCTCCCCTTCCCGGTCAGCCACCCGTGCTCACCCCTGTGGACTGCGCGCAGCAGCAGGAGTTCAACTCCGCTCTCTAGCTTCTTCACAGAAACTCGCCCCCCCCACTCCTCCCCTCATCTCCCCTGATTTCCCCTGCTTTCCCTTGATTTCTCCCTGCTTCCCCCACCAGGTAATATCTCTTGGACAACCCAAATGCGCACCAGCAACGGAGCATGCACCCCCCCTTCCTGGCCAGCCTCCCACTCTCACACCTGTGGACTGCGCGCACCCGCAGGAGTTCAACGCCGCTCTTTACAGCTTCTTCACAGAAACGTCCGGGGGGAGCCTGGGCGTGTGGAGTGCAGGGGGAGGGGGGGACGGAGAGAGCGGTGGGAAAGGGTGGTTGGAGAGCCGGAGCGGTGTGGACTGGCGTTTTGGGCAGACGATGCTGCAGACGTTTAACAAGACTGAGACCAACATTGCTCACTATGCTGGTGGGTGGGTGGGCGGGTATGACCATTGGTGGGATGGGGGGCTATGGAGGTGGGAGGGCAAGCAGGGGGGCAGGCGGGTGGGCGGGCAGGTGGGAGGGTGGGAGGGTGGGAGGGTGGGTGGGCGGGTATGTGGGTGGGTGGGCGGGTGGGCATCATTGGTGGAGTGGAGTGGGAGAGGTGGCTTTTGGATTCCTTGGATGGGAAGTGTAGGCTCGTCGTTGTGGCGTGGATTCAACATCACCTCACGGCATTAAGAATGCCACCCCAACATTCCCCCTTCCTCCCAACCTCCCATCACCTCCCAGCCTCCCCTCCTCGCAGAGAAGGTCCTCACGCTCCTCCTGGTTAATAACTTCACAGCAGATTTTGGTTCGACTCAAAACCCCCCTCCCGCCTCTTCCTCCCAACCTCTCTTCATCCCGCAATCCCCCCTCCTCCAAAGAAGGTCCTCGCGCTCCTTCTGGCCAGCAACTTCACAGCTCCAGCTACACTACGATCCACCTTGACTCGCTTCATGCCCTGAGGGATGCTTGCCCCCCTCACACTGTCTCTCTGTGCTCCCTGTCCTGTCCCTCCGCTCCCCCTTCCTCCAGAGAAGGCCCTCACGCTTCTCCTGGCCAATAACTTCACGGCACCCGCTACACTGCAAACCCCAGTCACCCGCTTCATGCTGCCCCGCGATGAGATGTTTGTTGAACGGTGAACAGTGTGGGGGTTTTGGGGCCTCAATTGTCGCCTCAAAAGGTCACCTCAGAAGGTCACCTCAAAAGTTGCCTCAAAAGGTCGTCTCAAAAGCTCCCTTAAACACTACCTCGCTATGAGAGGTTCATTGAACGGTGAGCAGCAGGGGGTTGTGGCTATTGAAGCGGCTCAAATGCTGCCTGGAAAGTCGCTTCAAAAGACGTTTCAAAACGTGCCTCAGAAGTTGTTTCATGCTGCCTTGCGATGACAAGTTCATTGAATCCATCCATCCTTCCATCGTTCCATCCATCCATCCTTCCTTCCATCCTTCCATCCTTCCATCCTTCCATCCTTCCATCCTTCCATCCATCCATCCATCCATCCATCCATCCATCCATCCATCCATCCATCCATCCATCCATCCATCCATCCATCCATCCATCCATCCATCCATCCATCCATCCATCCATCCATCCATCCATCCATCCATCCATCCATCCATCCATCCATCCATCCATCCATCCATCCATCCATCCATCCATCCATCCATCCATCCTTCCATCCCTCCATCCTTCCATCCTCCCACCCTTCCATCCTTCCACCCTTCCATCCTTCCACCCTTCCATCCTTCCATGGGTCACATAACCTTAGGCGATGCCCCCATGGCATTCGGCCTAGTTGAATTCGAATCCGCATGGAACGCCGCGACCGAATCCCGCCCCCTCTGCTTTGAAAGCCTCCTCCTCCCGGGCTTCTTCAAAGGAGTGGCCTTCCCGTCCCACCCTGACCAAGGCACCTATTTGGACCGGCACTTAAGAATCAAGCTGGGTTTGGAGCCTCCAGAGAAAATGGTGTGGGGGGCGGATGGGGTGAAGGGGTGGCGGCCGCGAGTGCTGTATATCACGCGGCTGGGGGCGGAGTTGAAGGGCCGCCGCACCTTTGTGCCGGAGAGTCATGAGGCTCTGCTGAAGCTGATGAACGACCTGGACCTTGAGGTGGGTCCTTCCTCCTCTTTCATCTTTCATCTTTCTCTTCTTTCATCTTCTTCTTCTTTCATCTTCTTCTTCTTTCATCTTCTTCTTCTTTCATCTTCTTCTTTCATCTTCTTCTTCTTTCATCTTCTTCTTCTTTCGTCTTTGTCTTCTTTCGTCTTTGTCTTCTTTCGTCTTTGTCTTCTTTCGTCTTTGTCTTCTTTCGTCTTTGTCTTCTTTCATCTTCCTCTTCTTTCATCTTCCTTTTCTTTCATCTCGCTCCTCTTTTCTTTTGGCCTCCCCCCTCATCCATCCACCCATGCCTCTTCTCCAGGTAACAATGGTTGAGATGGGTCACCCATCTGACGTTCCGCCAGCAGTTCGAAGCGATGCAATCAGCCGACATCATCATCTCCCTCCACAGTACCTCCTTCATAAACGTGCCTCCCTTTGCCCGCCCCTCCATCCACACATGCCTTCCCTTCTGCAGGTGATAATGGCCGAGTTGGGGCACCTAACGTTCCGCCAACAATTCGAAGCGCTTCAATCAGCTGACATCATCATTTCCATCCACAGCGCTTCCTTCATGAACGTTCCCCTCCTCGCGCGCCGCTCCACTGTGGTGATCGAGATCATGCCTTACAGGGTCGTGCACGAGTTGTACTACTCTCTAACTCTCAACTCCGGAATGCCGTATTTCCTCAAGATGTGCCGCAAAGGGGACGAGCAGGAGGGGGATGCTGCTTTCAAAGAGTTGAACGGCTTCGATTGCATACCACTTTATTATGTGATGGCACTAGTATAGTGCATTACAGTGCTGTAAAATATATAACCTGTTGTACGGCGCACAGGTCTATTCTCGCCAATGTACACCCAACATGGCGCACAGATCTTGATGATGCATGACATAGGCTCGTACCACCAGCAGGAAGTAGCGCTCGTGACCCTGTCCACGGACGCGGGCCGGGCCCCACACGTCCATGTGAAGCGTCTGCAGCGGGGCCTCTGTCGGAGGAAACTGGGAGGAGTGAGGGGCAGCCCGCTGCCGCCCCTCTACCCCCGGCCGGGGTCGAGCCTGTACACACTGACCACTGCGTCTCCTCCAGTCACTGCGTCTGGTCAGGTAGCTGCGTCGGGTCAGGTGTTTGCTGCAGCGTCCAGGTCTGGTCCTGAGTCTGCCCCCTGTTCGTGTCGCCTCCTGTCTCACGAGACTCTCCTCTGGCACCACCGCCTTGGTCACCCCTCCCTGCTTCGTCTCCGAGGCATGGCCTCCCGTGTCCTTGTCTCTGGTCTTCCCCGGTCCCTCCCTCCCCTTCCTCCGGGGCCTGGCCCTACCTGCGTCCCCTGTGTCGAGGGGCGGCAGCGGGCTGCCCCTCACTCCTCCCAGTTTCCTCCGACAGAGGCCCCGCTGCAGACGCTTCACATGGACGTGTGGGGCCCGGCCCGCGTCCGTGGACAGGGTCACGAGCGCTACTTCCTGCTGGTGGTACATTGGCGTGTCTAACCCAACTGTTAGAGCCATGATAATAGATCAACCGCCATGTTGGGTGTACATTGGCGAGAATAGACCTGTGCGCCGTACAACAGGTTATATATTTTACAGCACTGTAATGCACTATACTAGTGCCATCACATAATAAAGTGGTATGCAATCGAAGCCGTTCAACTCTTTGAAAGCAGCATCCCCCTCCTGCTCGTCCCCTTTGCGGCACATCTTGAGGAAATACGGCATTCCGGAGTTGAGAGTTAGAGAGTAGTACAACTCGTGAGCCACCTTGTAGGGCATTATTTCAATAACAACGACGTTGCGTCGGGCGAAAAGAGGCGCGTTCATCAAGGATGCGCTGTGGAGGGAAATGATGATGTCGGCCGATTGAATGGCTTCGAACTGCTGGCGGAATGTGAGGTGACCCATCTCGACCACTGTCACCTGTTGGGGATGGGTGGACAGAAGAGCAGCAGGCAAAGAGGGGGACATTCATGAATGAAGCGCTGTGGGGGGAAATGATGATGTCGGCCGATTGAATGGCTTCGAACTACTGGCGGAATGTGAGTTGACCCATCTCGACCATTGTCACTCGGAGAAGAGGCATGGGTGGATGGATGAGGGGGAAGACCAGAAGAGCAGAAGAGGAAGACGTTGAGAGAGGAATGTAAAGTGGCCCATGTCGACCATGTTCACCTGGAGAAAGAGCATGTGCGGATGAATGGAAGCAGAAAAGTTGGATGAGGCATGCCTTATGATCTGGATGAGGGAAGGAGACAAAAAGCTGGAAGAGGAAAGAAAAGAAGAGGAAGACGTTGAAAGAGAGAGGAACGCCGTTTGGAGAAGGGGCGTGCACGGATGGATGGTGGGGCGTGTGTGGATGGATGGTGGGGCGTGTGCGGATGGGTGAAGGGGGGCGTGTGTGGATGGGTGAAGGGGCGTGTGTGGATGGGTGATGGGGAAGACAGAAGCAAGACGATGATCATGAGAAGGAGAAACAGACATAATGAAAAGGAGGACGTGTAACTGCAGGTGTTATAGGGCCCACCTTTCTTTTGATGCAATAGGGTTTGCAGTCTCTGGATGCACGTAATTAAAAAAAAAAACTACTGTGGTTGTAACAATTCAGTGGGTGCATCCTTTAGGGCGCGTGTCTTTTGTTTTTTATAAGCAAAACTCGGATTTTGGGTTGAACTATCTCATTTGAACCTAGGTCGACCTAGGCTCGAGTTTATCCACATCTGCAAACCGAGTCGCGGCTCCCACACTCTCGAGAATCACATGACACACAAAAGTTCACCTATCGAAGTTGAACTTTTACAGCCCCCCCGAGTCGCGGCCTATTCTCGTAGGTTACCCTATTCACGTTCACAACCACGTGTCCGTTGCATAAACCGGGACTCAATCTGACGAAGTCGCTAGTGCGCACGATGCTAGCTACGAGCGTCGCAGAATTCGCATCGTCGTTGTCAGTGGTCAGTTGGACACACGCTTGCATTTTCGTGCCAGCATGTTTGTTGATGAAAGTTCAACTTCAGATTCGTGCTTTCATCACCCCCGATGGTGTACTTGGACACACGACGTCTTGGCGAAGAACTTGGCGAAAATTGCAAATAGGGTAACCAGCAAAAGTTCAACCAAAAATCCGAACGTCTACAGCAAAAGACGCGCGCCCTTAAAGACAGTTGAGAAACACATGTACCTGAACAAAGTTCAGAAATACAGGAATTTCAAACAACTCAAGACATTGATACAGGGCTTTCAAAAAACTCAAGACGTTAATACAGGGATTTCAAATAGCTCAAGACATCAATACATGGCTTTCAAACAACTCAAGACATCAATACAGGGCTTTCAAACAACTCAAGACATCAATACAGGGCTTTCAAACAACTCAAGACATCAATACAGGGCTTTCAAACAACTCAAGACATCAACGCAAGGCTTTCAAACAACTCAAGACATCAATGCAGGGCTTTTAAACAACTCAAGACATCAATACAGGGCTTTGCCTACTCGGGACTTATCAGAAAAGCACCTTCGAACCTGCCTCACCTGAAATACACCTAAAACCACCTGGAACTCACCTGAAAATCCAAATCATTCATGAGCCTCAGCAGTGCCTCATGGCTCTCCGGAATGAAGCACCGCCGACCCTTCAACTCCGCCCCCAGCCGTGTGATATACAGCACCCGCGGCCGCCACCCCCTCGCCCCATCCGCCCCCCACACCATTTTCTCTGGAGGCTTCAGCCCCAGCTTGATCCTCAGGTGTCTCTCAAGGTAGGTGCCTTGGTCGGGGTGGGACGGGAAGACCATTTCCTTAAAGATGCCAGGGAGGAGGAGGCTTTCGAAGCAGAGGGGTCGCTGCGTTCCATGCAGACTCGAACTCCACTAGGCCGAATGCCATTGGTAGGTCCCCCAGGGTCTTGTGAGCGAGGCTGGTGGTAGGGGGGGAGAGGGCGTGAGTGAGGGGGGAGAGAGTGTGATCTGGAGATGCATTGCCACCACCAGGCCGAATGCCATTGGTAGGTCCCCCAGGGTCTTGTGAGCGAGGCTGGTGGTAGGGGACGGGAGGGCTTGAGAGGGGTGAGAGAGCGTGAGAGAAAGGGACTGAGAAAAGAAGAGAGAATTTATGAGATGCATTCATACAGACTCAACTAGTCCGAAGGCCATGGTGCGTTCACCAGTGAGGGTCCGAAGGCCAGGGTCTTGTGAGTGAGGCGAGGCTGCTGGTGGTGGCGTGTGGGTGGTCGCAAGAGTGAGAAGGAGGGGGGAGAAAAGAAGAGCGTGTCTGTCAGTGTCTTGGAGCGCAACGAGATGCCAAAAGGGCAGCTCTTAGAGGCATGTGAGCGAGGCTGGTGGTGGTGGTGGTGGTGTGTGTGTACGTGAAGATCACTCTTGAGAATTCTCAAAAGTGATTTTCTATGAGATGCCATAAGGGCCGCTCTCAGAGTCCTGGGAGCGAGGCTGGTGGTGGTGGTGGTGGAAAGAGTGCTTCCCTGTGGAGTGAGAAGGAGGAGGGAGCATAGGAGAGATAGATTACGAGACGCAATAGACCAACCAGCCCGAACGCCATAGGGGCGTCTCCCTGAGTCCTGTGGTCGAGGATGACGAGGAGGGAGTTGAAGAGAAAAGGAGGGGGTGTCTGCCAATGAAATCCGTTAAAGCCACCCTCCTGCCCGAGTTCCATGGGGGGGGGAAATCATGCGAGCGCAATCATGCGATGACCTAGTTGAGTGTGATCTTCCCTTGTGTGCTTGCTTTGCTTTCGAGTCAACACCGTGCAGTTGTGGAGAGTTGTGGACGCAAAGGGAAGAGACACGGCGTGACGGGAAACTCAAGTAAAAAATGACAGGAGAGTGCGATGATCTAGATGATTGTGGTATTTGATTGAGCTGACTCAAAAGTCAACTTTTGAGTCGACTAAAACGACAGGCGAGTGCAATGATCTAGTTGAAGGGCTTTGAGACGTCTCAAAACACTTCTTTTATGTCACGTGGAAACTCGAGAACAAAAGACAAGCGAGTGCTATGATTTAGATGAGTGTGATCTTCCCTTGTGTGCTTGCTTTGCTATCAGCAGAATAACGTACAGTTCCGGAGAGTTGTGCACGCGGGAGGCGAGCAGCGGCGTGACAGCGAATTCGATCATGGCCTGCATCACCCGAGCGAACATGGAGTCTGCACCGATCGTTCGAATTCTGCAAATTGCGTGGATGGAAGGATGGAGCATTGGAGGTCCAAAATCGGTGATGACTTTTGAGTTGACTCAACAGGAACATCGAGTTTGCACCCATCAATGGAAATCTGCGCATCGGATGAATGGAATCATGGAAGGAAGAATGGAATCATGGAAGGATG